TGACAGAATACAGCTGTTTATGACAAGCTTTACTTAAAATTTCAAACCCACTGTTGAGACCTACTGCTCAGAAAAAAGATTCCTTTCAAAATATTACTGCTCACTGACAATGCATTTGGTCACCCCGGTGCACTGATGGAGATGTACAGTGAGATTAATATTGTTTCCACACCTGCTAACACAATATCCCTTCTGCAACCCATGGATCAAGGAACAATTTCAGCTTTCAAGTCCTATTTAAGAAATATATTGCATAAGGCTACAATTGCCATAGATAGTGATCTCTCTGATGGATCTGGGCAAGATAGATTGAAAATCTGGGAAGGATTTGCCATTTGAAAAGCCATTAGGGAACATTCATGATTCATGGGAAGTGGTCAAAATAACAACATTAACAGGAATTTGGAAGAAGTTGATTCCAACACTCACGGATGACTTAAGAGGGTTTCAGGATATCAGGGGAGGATGTAACTGTAGATGTGGTAGAAACAGCAAGAGAACTAGAAGTAGAAGTGGAGATATGACTGAATTGCTGCAATTTCAGGATAAAACCTTAGCAGATGAGCAATTCTTAAGGATGAGCAAAAAATAGTGGTTTCTTACTGCTGCTGCTGCTAAGTTGCTTTAGTCGTGTCCGACTCAGTGCGACCCCATAGATGGAAGCCCACCAGGCTCCCGTTCCTGGGATTCTCCAGGCAAGAACACTGGAGTGGGTTGCCATTTCCTTCTCCAATGCATGAAAGTGAAAAGTGAAAGTGAACTCGCTCTGTCGTGTCTGATTGTTAGCAACCCCATGGACTGCAGCCCACCAGGCTCCTCCATGGGATTTTCCAGGCAAGAGTACTGGAGTGGGGTTTCTTGAGATGGAATCAAATTCTGGTAAAATTGTTGAAATGACAGCAAAAGGTTTAGAATATTATACAAACTTAGTTGAGAAAGCAACGATAGGGTTTGTGAGGATTGAGTCCAATTTTGAAAGAAAGTCTACTGTGGGTAAAATGGTATCAAACAGCACTGCATGCTACAGCTAAACTGTCCATGAAAGGAAGAGTCAATGATGTGGAAAAATTCATTGTTGTCTTATTTTAAGAAATTACCACAGCTGCTCCAACCTTCAGCAACCACCACTCTGATCAGTCAGCAGCCATCAGCATCAAGGTGAGACCCTCCACCAGCAAAATGGTCATGATTCATTAAAGACTCAGATGATAGCTAGCAGTTTTTAGCAATAAAGTATTTTTTAGTTAAGATTTATGTATTGCTTTTTTTTTTTTTTTTGTAGACCTGGTGTTATTGCACAAGTAATAGACAACAGTATAGTGTAAACCCAACTTTCACATGCATTGGGAAACCAAAAAATTCATGTGACTGGCTTTATTGCCATATTCCCTTCTTGGGGTGGTCTGGAACATAACCCACATTATCTCAGAGGTATACCTGTACAAACATCCTTGAAAAAAATGGCCAAAACAAAGGCATTCAAGCTCTCTGCTCAAAAAACATGCAGAAATGCAAGAACTGCAAGATTTGTCTTCCAATACTTCTTTTCACGCCTGGTAATTTTGTTGATTACTCTGTAGGACGTGAAGTATGTTTCTAGTTTTACAAATGTTCTTGAGCTTCATTCTAGGATAAGTTAAGTTATTTACAAACAGTTTGATCCTTTCAAGCCTTGTTTTGAAGCTGGCTTGCAGAGGACAAGAGCAGTATTTGGTGTATTGCTAGTTTTGCTCCACTACTGAGGCAAACCCCTCTGAGCCCCCCACGCATTCTCAGGTTTTCCAGTCTGGCTAGTGGGAACAGGCACCCTTCTCACTCCTGAGGAAGCCCCGGATATCAGGACCTCAAGTCCTTTAATTGGTTTACCCCGTCTCTTGCACATGTGCAATCAATATTCCACTGAAGACTTGAAGGATTCCCTCTGTAGGTTTCTGCGCTTCCCGGGTGGTGCTGGTGGTAAAGAACCCGCCTGCCAACGCAGGAGACATAAGAGATGCCAGTTCAGGAAGATCCCTTGGAGGAAGGCATGGCACCTCACTCCAGTGTTCTCGCTTGGAGGATCCCTTAGACAGAGAAGCCTGGTGGACTACAGTCCACAGGGTCCCACCGAGTCAGAAGCGACTTGGCACTCACACACTCTATGGGTCTCTAGAGTGTTCCCTGTGTGGAGCTATCGCTTTTTCAGGACTCCGCCTGGGAAATGCCAGATGCTTGGTCTTCCATCACTCTCAGCTCTCTTTCCTCAACTCAGGAAGTCTGCTGGACTGTGCACTGTGGCCTGCAAAGTCCCTCCAGACAGTCAGTGGGGACAACCACAGGGCTTACCTCATTTTTAACTCTTAGGCATCACTGAGACTGACCAAATTTTAATATGAATTGGTGCTTTTATTTTCCATGACAATGGAAAAATATTAGCATACTTTTAATCTCATGCTAATAAATGCCATTATTGCCACGCATTTTGATTCTAAGTCTATCTTAACTTCCACGATACACTATTCTTATTATAATCATCATTGATTTGTACATCACTGTTCATTTAGACTTATCCAATAACTACCATTTGTCTTGCTTATAATTCCTTCTGTCATCTTATAATTTCTTTTGTCATCAATATCCTCCTACCTGAAGAACACCAGAATTTTCTGGTGATGCACTTTTCCTTGCTTGCTCAGAAATGTTAATTAACCTTTATTCTTTTTTTTTTTTTAAATAGTTATTTGGCTGTGCCAGGTCTTAGTTGCTGGCATGTGAGTCTTTAGTTGTGGCGTGTGTGATCTAGTTCCCTGGGCGGGGATCGAACCCAGGCTCGCTGTATTGGGAGCACAGAGTTTTAACCACTGGACTCCCAGGGACATCCAAACCTTTACTCCTGAAACATACATTTTTCTCTGGGCTTAGAGTTCTTGGGTGGCAGTGATTCTGTTGTATTGTCTTTTTATTTCCATCGTGTCTTCTGAAACATCAGCTATCAGTCTGATTGCTTGATGACTGCTTTTGAATGTTCTGTTCATCACTGGCTTTCAGCAATTTTACTATGATGGCTTTGGGTTTATTTTGCTTGGAGTGCAAAGGACTTTTGGAACATGTGACTTGATATCCCTTCTCATTGTAGGAAATTTCTCACCAAACTTTCTTCAAATATTTTTTCTGTCCAATTCCCTCTCTCCTTCCTGTCCAGGATTCCAATTATATGTGCAATAGACTTTGTCATTTTATCCTGACATCTTTTCCCTTTCTTTCGTTTGCCATTCTTTCTTTCCTGTTTTTTAGTTTAGATATATTCTTCAGACCTAACTTTTAGTTCACAAATTCTGGAATACTGGAGTGGGTTGCCATTTCCCTCTCCAGGGGATCTTCCTGACCCAGCAATCGAACCCGGGTCTCATGTACTGCAGGCAGATTCTTAACAAACTGAGCTATGAGGGAAGCCCTCATTTGCATCTAATAAGCCATAAACCTATTCACTGAATTCTTTATTTTAGAGTGGCATCTTTTAGTTCTGGACTTTTTCTTTTTCTCTTTTGAATTCTCAGTTCTCAGATAAAATTTTCCATCTTGTCTTGTCAGTGGAGGAACTGGTTGCATGGTCTTTGTGTTTTATACTTTGGGTTTATAACACTAATATTTTTAGCCTAAGTGGGTTTGCTACTCTTGACTTTTTGTTTTACATGTTATCTTGTTTCTTTATTTTTTCTGGCTATTACATTTTCTGGCATTTACAATGCTCTTTCTTTCATCTAGTAAATAATTTACATTTGCTTTTTTCAGGTACCTAAAGGGACTGGCAATCTAGGTTGATCTCAACTTAATTTGGGGATTGAGATGATTTAAAGCTGAGCAGCAGTCTCAGAAGGCTGATCTATATCTGTTTCATCCTTCCTGCAGAGATATACATCTCTAGGGTTTCAACCCAAAATATCACATGATCACGGCCCTTTTGAGCAGTGGGACTTTAAGATGGCTTTTGCAGAAACAGTAAATGCCCTAAAGTAAAATAGAGTTGTGGAAGAAGACTAAGGCTAATTTGAATTTGGTGATTTTAGTTATAAACTGATTTTGAATTTCCAAGATGCTTTAAAAGCCTTCCTTTATTATTGATCTTCAGAAATTCCATGAGGATTTGTAGGTTTCTGTTCTCATATGACTCTTCATTACCTTTGCCTATAAATATAACATGCACTCTTGTGCTTTGGGTGGAGGAACTGGTTTACATTAGGAAAATATTTCTTTCTTTCTTTCTTTTTTTTTTTTTTTAAAAGATGGCTTCATTTCTGTTTGTTCTATTATCTTTTCTTGGTATTTCAAGGAGATGCATTTTACTGTCTCCATGTTTCACATTTATTCTCACTGGTATCATATTTTCCTTGCAGCAGTCACAAATCCAATGCCTATAGAGCTCAATCAGGTAACAAAGACAAATGAAGCCAGCCTGGTACAAAATTAGTGAGCAACAAGGACTGTGGAGAGCAAACAGCCCTTCTAAATGTGTCAGCTACCAATCAGGAGGAGAAGGGGACGACTGAGGATGAGATGGCTGGATGGCATCACCGACTCGATGGACGTGAGTGTGAGCAAGCTCTGGGAGCCAGTGATGGACAGGGAAGCCTGGAGTGCTGCAGTCCACGGGGTTGCAAAGAGTTGAACATGACTGAGTGACTGAACTGACTGACTGACTGACCGATCAGCTGGTATCTAGCACTAATGAAATAAGTTGACACTTGAGCAACCCAAGTCTGAACTATGCAGTCCACATACACGTAAATTTTTTTTTCAACAAATATGTACTACAGTACAACACAATCTGTGGTTGGTTGAATAACTGGATATGGAACTACAGATAGGGAGAGCTGACTATAAAGTTGTTCACTGATTTTTGACTGTGTGGAGGGTAGGCATCCCTAAATCGCAGAGTTGTTCAAGATTCCAGAGAAACTAAAATCTGGGTTTTATAAAATGCAATATTCCTTAGCAGAAAACAAACAAGTCCCACAACTTACCACTGGGATGCTCTTGGTCACACACAGAATGATCTGTTGCTTCACTGTCTTTTGTTATATTATCATCCTCTGCAGAATCTGACATAACAAACAAACAAAATCTTTAGTCAGTGTTTTGAACCAGGAAATACAGCAGCCTCCAACACTCAAAGAACAGATAACTGTTTGGGGGAAAATTTTTATTATTAAAAAAAAATCATTAAAATGCTTAAATATCTTCATCAATAAATAAGCTTTTCTTAAAGTACTACATATGATGTCTTCACAAAGTTTACAAGGTAAAAATGGTAAGGATTCAGTTGGAACATCTTTTGTACAACAAAGAAGAAAATATAAGCAGGCTTTATGCATCAGTGAAAGTCTTAGGAGAATTGTGCAGAACGATATGAAAGGAAGCAAAATAGAGAAGATTAAAGGAATATAATTTTAATGTCCTTAATGCTTCCATTATTGTTGTTGTGCATATATGGGAGCCTTGTGTCCTTGAAAAGCCCAGATGTAGAGCTTTGAAATCCAGTGGTAATCAAAATCACCTTCCTCAGGAACTATATCAGTACAACAATAGCAAACGGGGAACACAGATCTTCTGTTCTGTGCAACTTCACCCTCTCCCTTGTGTAGCATATTTAAAGGAGGGATCAGTATAAGTTCACTTTTTTTCCTTAAATCATATGATGTACTTCACAGGAAATAATGTGGCTAAAAGGATTCCAGCAACTTATGGACTCATGCAAAGCTGGAAACGGTCCCCTGTTGGATGTTTGAGACTTNTCGTCTGTCGTCCCCTTCTCCTCCTGCCCTCAATCCCTCCCAGCATCAGCATCCCTTCCAATGAGTCAACTCTACACATGAGGTGGCCAAACTTCTGAAGTTTCAGCCTCAGCATCAGTCCTTCCAATGAACAACCAGGGCTTAACTCATTTACGATGGACTGGTTGGATCTCCTTGCAGTCCTAGGGACTCTAAAGAGTCTTCTCCAACACCATTGTTCAAAAGCATCAATTCTTCAGTGCTCAACTTTCTTTATGGTCCAACTCTCAAATCCATATGTGACTACTGTAAAAACCATAGCCTTGACTAGATGGACCTTTGTTGGCAAAGTAATGTCTCTGTTTTTTAATACGCTGTCTAGGTTGGTCATAACTTTTCTTCCAAGGAATAAGCGTCTTTTTATTTTGTGGCTGTAGTTACCATCTGCAGTGATTTTGGAGGTTAAATGCAATCCAAAGATATCAAAAAGCCATGAGCTAATCTTGTATGCGTGTGGCCGTGGAGAGAGCAGGGGATGGCAGGCCAGCACGTCTGTTACTTACAAATAGCTTCTCTATTGAGTTCATGCTCCTCAGTTGTGTTTTAACCCCTAACAGAGCTGAATCAGATGGAATCTAAAACAAATCATTCTTGATTTGTTTCTCTTACCCACTTTTTTGTACTCCTGCCCCCAAAACGAGGAGACAGCTTCAAACAATATGATTTGGAATATGATGAGAAAGTTTGTTTCTCCAACTTGCCACTAGCAGCATTTGATGGACAAGTGAGAAACCTGGGTAGTTAACATATGATTCAGATTTAATAACCAGTGAAGCAAGCATACACCCAAAGTGTATGGTTTTAATTAACTGCAAATAATTACCCCGAGGCAAATGTTTAATTATCTGCACAGCTTCTTATTTCTTTCTGAGACTGACAATAAATTTCAAAGTCCAAATTTGGAAGCAAAACTTCAGCACAGAAACATTTCCCAAACTGTTATCTCACTCAAGTCAAACTGTTTTAAACCAGTTCCCATTAAAATATGCCTTTTAAATTTTGAACCTAACACATGAATTAAAAAATATCATTTGAATACTTTTTCCACATGAACACTGAAAATGAACAATTTTAAAAAGGTACTATATGGACCAGGCTAAATTTAAGTTTGAAAGTGTTTTAGTTTTACCAGTTTATAGAAAATGGTATCATTTGATATGTACTCTGGTACAACACTCATTTCTTTCAAAATTATCCAAGATTTTGTAGGCAGCTAAAATTTATTCATTTATACTTAAGAATAACTCACTACACTTTATAATTTACGTAAACATTATGCTTCATGAACCAAATATGACCTAAGAAATGGTCTTTTGAAAAGTGATTTACAGTGAGTTTATAAGTTTACGGTGCTATGAGTCAAATAAAATGGGTGAAAATATTAAAAAAATTAATTTCTAGACTACGCCAGTTTTGACAACAAAATCTGTGTCTTTGGCAAGTTAAATGACCCTTAAATTTCAACTTCCTTGAGGAGTTGCTACAACATTGCTAAGGCACTTTCTGATCTTATGTACTCTAATGTATACAATGTATTTCATTGAATCCAAGACACCATCAATTGTTATTTGCTCTATTATCTTGTGTAGAGTTTAGAAGATGAGACCAAATGAACTATAACACACTCTAAATTTTAAAGATATGCCCTGATTTTGGAAATAAAATATATAAAGAACTATGTATCCTAGAAATATGATATTTGAGTATATTCTGTGTGAAATACATGTTTTTATGTGATGACAAAGATTTCACATCACATGGCCCATTACCAAAGCCACAAGTTCATCTTGTCTCATATGTGAGTCTCTTTCCAGAAACACTTTCATGTCTGTGCCTCTGTTTTATCCACAGTAATAAAGGAAGATAGAAAATATAAGCTCATTCAGCATGCACAAAAATCCAGGTGCCTATGGAAGATTGTTCCTACCACAGTTTTTCTATTCAAAGAGATATGTGAATTTCCAGCCTCATGAACTCCGCCAGACTAAATTCGATCCTGAATGTTTTAAACCATAGCTCCTATTACATTACACCTAGTCAAAGGTTTGAAATGACAGGAGCTTTTCTGCTTTGGAGGTGATGAAAACTGCACTCTATGTGCACATAAAGTCATTATTCATAATCAGAAAGAGGGAAAATAAATCCAGTATATAGTCATTAAAAGAGGTTATTTTTCCTTTGTAAGTTCCATAAACTACCATGAAAACTGTAGTTGTACATACTAAATTCTTAGTTGTTGTTGTTGTTTTGTTATTTATTATACTAAGTTCTTGAATCACCTTGGATTCACATTTTATTTAATTCTAAAAATTATCATTTGATAGTGTTCAAAAAATGTAGAAGAGTTATCACTTAATTCTGAGATTCAGTCAATGTTACTTTAATAAAGAATTTAAATTAAATTTATATGTAGATCCTGACTTTGAAAATCCTTAAGGTCAATGTCCTATTTGACAATTTTTTCAAATGCAAATATTAAATTGAATAGCCAAGCGAAAGTTCTAAAGACAGAAATGCTAAATGGTAGGTCATTTTTAATGCAGTCAATCACACATGTCTACACAGGCTAGTACATGTATAGATTTAAGTTGTGATGACAAATGATGATACTACTGAATTTTTAATCAACATATCTAGACTATAAATCAAAATAAATACTCTTTCTTTTGAAAATGTCCCCTTAGAACAAAAGCTGCTAACCCTACAGCATCACAAAATATACTCCAGGGGTCCACAAACCTTTTTGAAATGATATGCAAGTGTGTGCTTATATTCATATGTTCATTTTTTTTCTGGGAGGAGAGAGCTTCTGTCATACGGGGACATGTGACTCCAACAAGGTTAAAAATAACTATAGAAATGTATAGTGCCAGTGACACTGCCATTTTACAAAAGATTTTTAGTACTATAATTGAGGAGCCAGCTATAGAATTTGATGTCCATGCATAAATTCATCAGTGATGGCAATTCTTGAATTCTTAAGGAAGATTTGATTTGAGCAAATAGCTCAAAACAATATGGAGATATATTTAATAAATGAGGAGGATAATCCAGCTGTCAAAAAACACTTTGCGAATGGATGATTAACTGTCTTTGAGAACATTTCCAAGCCAGGAGGTGAACTAAATCCATCTAGTAAGGGAGGCAGTCCCTGCCTACTACTGAGAGAAGAGGCAAGAGGTCACTTGGGTGCAAAAGGTCTACTGGGTCCGAACAAAATAAATACCATGAATGGACACCTACACATAAAATATTCTTGCTCTGTAACATGCAAGCCTCCTCACGTGAGTACCTAGGCTTGACACGCAAGTCACACAGAAGCACAATCACCAGGATTTTCTTTGATTCTCGTAAACTGATTAAACCAAGGAAAACATTTATCCTGGCCTGTTCCTTTGAATAGCTGGTTTAATGTGTGAAGCAATTGGAATAAAGTAGTTTTTCTTCCAGCTGAACAGTGTGATCATTCACAATAAACTAGAGTCTCTACAGCCGATTAGGGTCTCCTTGAAGCTTTGCAGTGATGAAACCTTCATACATACAGGAAAAATATATCCTGTAATATATTTGCAGAGGATTCAGATGGCAAGGCTCTGAACTGTGTGTGGTACCTGCGATGCTGGATACACAGGCTGGACTGTATTTGCCTGAAAAGGATCTGGGTGCACAGGCCAGGATGTTGCTCTGAGCGATGGCAGCTGAGCTGTGGTTAGTCATTTGTCTCCATTATGCTCTCATTAACCCCCATTAAAAGGCGGAGAATCATTCCCAGGGTTGCAGAATCTAGGTACTAAGAGTCTTTGAGACACAGAGGAGATGATGTCTATACACCATCATGTCTACTAACTTCGTTTCTTTTTTTTTTTTTGGCTACACTCTGTGGCATATGGGATCTTAGTTCCCCACCAGGGATGGAACCCATGTCTCCTGCAATGAAAGTGTGGAGTCTCAAACCACTGGACACCAGGGAAGTCCCTAACTTTGTTTCAGTTAGAAAACATATTCCAAATTCCAAACAGTACACCTGGGTAAACCAGCTTGCTCCAAGACTGGAGGCAATAATTCTTCTGCAAGTTGTTTTTGCAAATATAAGCAAATAAGAGAACTGATCATGAGTGGATGGGCACTAGTTTGGGGGTGTGATTCCAGAGGTACAAGGAGAAACTCCATTCACTTTATACAATCTCAGTTTCAGCCTCTTAGGACCTGAGGGTGTCTAGGCAGATAATCCCTCTTGAAGATTCTATAATGCTAATCTGCTGAATTGT